AGGATATGGTCCTCCCTGCAAGTCAGGGCCTGGAATCCAGCTTGCTGGGTCATATTTCTCCTCCTCCGAGACCTGCAGTGACACCAGGAGTCAGGGATTCCTTCCAGGAGCCAAGTTTAATCTGCAGCTTACTGCGGGCATGGTGCCCAATGTGGAGGCAGTCCCTATAGGAAGTAGGAGGGAACAAGATCAAGGAGCACGTACTGCACAGAAAGAGACTACATTCAGGGAAGTAGGGAAGCAGGTGATTCGTTGGGACTTCTCAGACAAGCAAAGCTTCCTCAGATGCACCATGATGTTGAGTATGAGCCCTGGGGTTGTGTTCTGTGTTCTCTGCTGAATCTACGGTGTTGGGAGATCAAAGTCCAGCTCCTGTGAGGCTCAGCTTCTGCAGAGCCCTAGCTAGGTGTGCAAGGGCCACATCATCATGCAGGAGGCACACAGTGAGAAGGAGGTGCTGTGGAGATAGTCCCAGCGGATGCCATTCATCTTGTGCAAGTGCTGGCCAGCTGGGTAGTAGATGCCATTGAGGTTGGAGGCACGACAGGCATCAAACCACCACCCTGTGGAAGGGGGGAACATGATGATCAGGGCTGTTGCCTCCTTGGGGAGCCAGCTGGCTGGGGAGGAGGGGGCAGTAGACCTCCGTTCAGGCCTTAAAAGGCCGTAGGGAACTCTAGCAGGCCCTCTGCTCCTCGCCTTGTTCTGACTCCTCTGTGTCCTGTGTCCCTTCCTCATTGATCTCCCTCAGGGCTCTGTGTCACCTCCTGTGGGTATGTGGTGGCCTCTGTCTTTCTCCATGAGACTCTCCCTCTTAACGGCTTTTGTGTGTGTGTCACACTGTGTGCCCTCTCTCTGGCTAAGGCCATTCCTGTTGTCTGGCTCTTTCTGGTCTCAGTCTCTCCAATAACTCTGTCTCCATGCACAGAGGCCTTTCTTGGCCATGCCCAGGGCTGCACTTCCTCTCTAGCTTTCCTTCTGCCTTCCATATCACAGTACAGCTCTGTCTCTACTGCTCTCACTTTTATCAGTCTCTGTCTCTCTCTGTCCCCATCTGGCCCTGTCTTTGTGGCTCAGGTCTCTCCTGTTCTTCCTGCTCTGTCTCTGACTCATCCTGTTTCCCACTCTCTGACCTCTGTCCCAGCCCTGGAGCACTGCCTGAGCCAGAGTTGGTGGGGAACTGTCCCCTGGCCACGCCCTGATCTCTGGGTTAGGAAGAGGGGTGGCACAAAGAGGACCTTATTAGGGCCCTGGTGGGGAAGGCACATCTAACCCTAACTCACCTTCAGACATAATTGATGCACAATTGCAGACACAGTTCTCATGGTCTGCATCGTGGGTGCTGAAGGTGTTGTTCCACAGGACCAGGTGACCCCAGTGTGATGATACACCACCGTACCCATTCACAAAAATCCTGATGGCTGCCCAGAGGTAGTAATGGGAGAGGAGCACAGAGTTAGGTTGGGGCTGTTAACAGAGGCTTCCCTGGGGACATTGTCCCAGACTGGGTCTCCCTCCTGTTATCCTTGGTGGGGGACCTTATCCTGGCCATTTTCTTCCTCTAGGAAGACCTCTCCTGGGCTCCTGGGTCTTTGTTGGTATCTCATGCCCAGGCCCGGGAAAATGTCTGGGTCTTTGTGGGGATCCTAGTGGCTTGGCTAGGGCAGATCTCCCATGGGAAGATTTCCTCTGGGCTCCTAGGTCTTTGTAGGTGACCCGTCGGGGTGCCGGGACAGATCTCCTGTGGGAAGATATCCTGTTCTCTGGGAAAACCCCAAGGTATTTGTGGATCTGATCTGACCAGGCCAGGAAAAACCTCCCGTGGGTAGCCCTCCCCGGCTGTCCTCAGTGACTCTGGGCTACTGTTGCCTGGTCTGTCAGTTACACACCTGGGGCCAGATCTCCCCAGGGGTGACCACCATGAGCCATGAGCCACCAAGGAGCCTGGGTGCACCTGCCCTAATCAGGAAGGTCCCAAAAAGCCCTCGGAGGAGCTGGCACACAGCTCTTTGAGGGAAGAACTTCCATAACCATGTCCTTCAGGGACCTACCAGGCCTGCTGCCTTCCATGTTCTTCCCAGTTCTATTGGCGCCACACTTAAAACATATTAGTGTGAAGAGGACAGATGACATTTCAGTAATGTGTGCCTCTGTGCCCTGCAGATTGATCATTGTATAACTTTGCAGGCTGCGATGAAATTTCATTTTGCATTACAAAAGTGTCTTTTATCCTACTAAACCGATAGCTTCCTGAGTGTTCATTGTAGCCCTGGGATTTGATCCTCCAAGATGGTGTGGGTTCTAAAAAACATTTCTCATTGTGATTTGTCATTATAATTGTTCACATTGTTCTTGCTTTTGTTTTGCCTGCAAAGAGTCAGCCATTTCCCTGTGGTTTCTTATCACTGAAGTCATAGACTAGAAACCCCAAACCCTGCCCCAGGGCGAAAAAAAAAATATATATATATATAGATATCTATCTATCTATAGATAGGTATATATTATATTATATTCATTGTGGGGCTTTGCTTTCTACCTGTAAATTGTGGACTATATCCCCTTCTAACCTAAACTAAGATGAATCAGACCCCTCCAATCCTACGTGGCCAACGAGAAATCTCATTTCACAGATGTGAAAAAAATTGAGAATAGGTAAATCACAGGGAAAGAAAGGTGACCAGTAGCCAGGAGCTGGCCTAGGGCAGAGGTGAGGGACTGCATATGGGTACGGAAACCAGGAAGATGTTCTGGTACCGGACAGTTGTGGAAGTTGCACAGCATTGCAAGTGTACTTGATGCCACTGACCATCACAAAAAACTAACTCTGAAATTACATTTAAAATTAATATATTTACAGAGAACTGGGAATTAAAGATATGAGTAAATACAACAGGAAGTGCAACAGCCAGGGCGCAGAAGAGTGGGTATGTGTCAGGAGCTGGCCACAGGGGGCAGTCAGGAGGTGACACCCTCTGTGAAATGAGGGACCCCAGGTGTGGAACTGGTGGAGAAGTGGTTCCTGCAGCTGGTTCTCATTTCAGTGCTGCAGCTGGTGAGGAGGCTGAAGGTAGAGGCGGCACCGGCTCTGCAGGTGGTACTCGAGTTTGAGCCGCAGCTGGCCCTGCAGCGAGAAGAAGAGAAAACACCTACTGTCCATGTTCCTCCCACGAGGCAGCTCTGTCTGCCAGCCCATCCCAGGAAGTCTTCCCAGGTGCATCCACCCACGGACTACTTAGTCTCGGGCTGTTCCCGGGCCAACGGAGCAGGTGGGAGCCCTTACTGCATGCCCAGCCCCATCCTATCCCATGTACCCATGGGCCCATAGCCCGGTCCTATCACCCTTACTCTCTTCTTCAGCGGGCTTGGGGATGCTGCAGTGGAGCCAGTGGGCTGGGAGGTCCATCCTGGACGTGCATCTCTAGCCAGGAGTCGAGGAGGTCGGGCTGTTCCCGGGCCAACGGAGCAGGTGGGAGCCCTTACTGCATGCCCAGCCCCATCCTATCCCATGTACCCATGGGCCCATAGCCCGGTCCTATCACCCTTACTCTCTTCTTCAGCGGGCTTGGGGATGCTGCAGTGGAGCCAGTGGGCTGGGAGGTCCATCCTGGACGTGCATCTCTAGCCAGGAGTCGAGGAGGAAGGACACGGAGCTTTGCTTTTTACCTGTAAACTGTGGACTATATCTCCTTCTAACCTAAACTAAGATGAATCAGACCCCTCCAATACTACGTGGCCAACGAGAAATCTCATTTCACAGATGTGAAAAAAATTGAGAATAGGTAAATCACAGGGAAAGAAAGGTGATCAGTAGCCAGGAGCTGGCCTAGGGCAGAGGTGAGGGACTGCATATGGGTACGGAAACCAGGAAGATGTTCTGGTACCGGACAGTTGTGGAAGTTGCACAGCACTGCAAGTGTACTTGATGCCACTGACCATCACAAAAAACTAACTCTGAAATTACATTTAAAATTAATATATTTACAGAGAACTGGGAATTAAAGATATGAGTAAATACAACAGGAAGTGCAACAGCCAGGGCGCAGAAGAGTGGGTATGTGTCAGGAGCTGGCCACAGGGGGCAGTCAGGAGGTGACACCCTCTGTGAAATGAGGGACCCCAGGTGTGGAACTGGTGGAGAAGTGGTTCCTGCAGCTGGTTCTCATTTCAGTGCTGCAGCTGGTGAGGAGGCTGAAGGTAGAGGCGGCACCGGCTCTGCAGGTGGTACTCGAGTTTGAGCCGCAGCTGGCCCTGCAGCGAGAAGAAGAGAAAACACCTACTGTCCATGTTCCTCCCACGAGGCAGCTCTGTCTGCCAGCCCATCCCAGGAAGTCTTCCCAGGTGCATCCACCCACGGACTACTTAGTCTCGGGCTGTTCCCGGGCCAACGGAGCAGGTGGGAGCCCTTACTGCATGCCCAGCCCCATCCTATCCCATGTACCCATGGGCCCATAGCCCGGTCCTATCACCCTTACTCTCTTCTTCAGCGGGCTTGGGGATGCTGCAGTGGAGCCAGTGGGCTGGGAGGTCCATCCTGGACGTGCATCTCTAGCCAGGAGTCGAGGAGGAAGGACACGGCCCTGGGAAAAGACAAATGGGTATCTTTTGATGCATGGTGTGAGCACCTCTCCCTTCTTCAGGGAAGCGTGGCACCCGTCGCTGTGCCTGTGCCTCCTGTTGCCATGTGGCCTCTGTTCAGAAAAGGGGAGGTGTCTGTGGTGGCATTGGCTTTGTGGGAACAGGGCACATGCTGCAAGCAGGTCTGAGAAGTGAGAGCTAAGGGAGAGAGGGTCCTCCCCAGCTCTC